CGACGCGACCGCCCGGAGGACACGGCGAAGCAGCGTACATGGAACGCAGAAGCCCTCTTTCAGTCGCTGCGAGTCTTCACAACTCGTTCCTTCCTTTCTTCCGCAAACCGAGGCAAAGTTTTAATAAACGACTTGCTGAGGTAGTAGGAAAGTTATTATTAGTAACAAGTGAGAAAAAAATAATAAGAAATTACCCAACATTCTATTTTTTACTTATGAATAAATAAGGAATATGATATATCTGGAGTAAAATTGTGAAGCGGTGCTAAAAACACCGCATTCAATATTTGTTGAGAAAATGTATGATATGTATGATTGGGAGCAAATGATTATAATAGAGGAATTGTTTAAGTATGTTTAACATAGAGCTAATCACACAATCTGGCCGATACATGACATGATAATATTTTAAATCTTGAATTAATAATGAAAAAGTTTACTTATGTAGTTTACAGTGCCCGACACAATTTTAGATCCATAACAAAACTAACACTACAACCAGAAGATTTGACAAGATGGATTATTTTTCGCAACTTGCCAATTTTTCTCTGTTTACACCTACAACGAATGTTACCGTCGGTTGAGGCGTCCCAGTTGTACGGCCAGGTGGTGTGGTTGGCGAAAGCGTAGTTGTAAGCCTGCTCGGCGCTGTCTTCCCTCGGAAGCGCGGCAGGGCAGCCGCTCCCTGGGCGTCGAAGGGCCGCCGTGGAGGGCGGAGGGCGCGGACAGTGCGTCTGCATTTCCACATGAGAACAGCCATTGCTGCACTCTTATCCACTAAAGTCCAACTTTACTAAACGGAGATCACTTTCGAAATATTTATCAGAACACAATTGTTGTGAACCATCCATGTCCCTCTATAGACAACAATAATCAATCTTCTAATATATAATTTTAAACCCAAGTGTTTTCAAAATCCACATCCCCTTATCGTGTACTATTAACATCAATCTGATTTCACCAAGAATGAATTATCCAATTTAAACACAACTGTTAGTAAGAGTAAACTAGAGTTTTTACGAAGTGCATAAAACCTTGCGATATTCATTTCAAAATACCTTATTGCGCCGTTCCATGGCCGCGTGTAGAGGTGCACGTGTGTCGCCCGCCGGCCGCCCAGGGGGCGCCCGTAGGTTAAGCAGCCTGGTGGAGCACAGTTACCAAAGGTGGCCGGCGCGGGGCCCTGCGGGCAGCTGAGCGCCCACGCCTACGCCCGCGCCCGCGCCCGCCGACCCTGTACATAGGGGGCCGAGATCTCTCTGTCGCTTGCGTTACGGTGGCTGGATCCCGTCTGTACCATTAACAGATTTGCAATACACAATATACACACACTCTACTGTACCTTCTGTTGTTTTCTTTGAACCCTTTTCGTGCATCCTTCCTCACGTTTGCAATCCTATAACTAATCGTAAAGAAATAATATATTTTGCGTATTATTTAACAATAATGTTGATGGTGAAGAGGAAATATGTCGACCCCAAGAGCTCACCCACGATTCATCGCTTTCAAGATCACTTTCGGTATGTCTTCCTCATTTATTAATTTATATTTGTAATATAAATAATAAAAATAGTAATATAAATAATATTGTTAACGTATTGAAACTGATTTCTACGTACATTGTGGTGTGAGTGTTAATGCACTTATACTTTTAATGCACTTAAAAATCTTTATTTCGTCGTGCAAGATACACATTAAGTGAAATTTGGCATGAAACCCGAAATCAAAGCAAGGAGCAATGGTTATTTATGCACCAAGGGCGTTATAAGGGTTCTAATAATCGAGCTGCGACAAAAAAAACGAGGGCCTTCGGCCCCACGCCTTTTTGTCGCTATTGCATACCATTGCAACCAGTACTCGTGATACAGACAAGATTTTATTTTTTACCCTATTTTACTGACCCGTATTTAATTATTAGATGTTAATTTGTTTCAGTTATCTTTTGATATTTCTCTCCCATAATTATCTCCTATAATTCCCTTCATACGAGTAAAAGAACACGTAGTGCCATTCAACTGTAAAATGTGGCGTCGCCGACGCTGCACCTGGCATTGGACTTACCAATGAATCGTAGTAGCTGATAAAGTTAAACTCACTTTCAAAAATTCCCAACACCCAACGGCCTTGTATCTTACCTCCATACACAATATGAATTGATCTTATTGCAATTTCAAAATTATAATCGCCGTAACAGATACTTGTAGATTTTGATGCCAATAGTTAAATTTTAGTGCAGCTAAATTTGTATGGCGTTTTTGCTAATATGCACAAAAATGCAGATAGCATTTTGCATTAGCACAAATGATCAATGCAAAAATGCTGATCATTCCCATTATCTCTAAGATCGCAGGACAAAAACACATACAAAAAAAAGGGTTTTGGAGATATCTTTGAATCTTCCGGATCCGAAAACAAATTATCCGTTCCCCATCGATTCGATTCGATTGGTGCACGGGGAGTGGTCTAGTCACGAGTGACGGAATCGTACACATGCCCAAATACGCACACTCAGAGTTTTAGTCAAATACTGTATAGTGTGGCATACCAGAAATACCCCAAGTCAATTAATTGAGGGAAATTCATCAACCGTATGTTTACTTTAGAATTGGATGCATACCAAATTGTTGACTAACGTCGTCAGAACTACGTGTCAACAAACTTTGTGTTCCGTGCTTGAATGCAATATTCGTGTGCGAAGCATGGTCCCGAGACATAGTGTTGAATAAATGATAAGATGGCGTTGAAAATCGAGGTTCCGTAATTATTTAGAATGAGTCAGTCTCTCTCTTGGCAGCAACCGAAGTGGACGGTACAAATTTTACAGACTTTGCTTGGGAAACATTTTGATATTAGGAAAATGAAAACCTACGTTAATTGTGTTTCCTTAATGGAAACCTCTGTTAATTGTGGGTTGTGTATGCGAAGAATATAATTTGTAATTTGAGGGTATCATTTTTAGCTTATGTTGTAATTTGTGATTTTCGGAGATTAAAGTAAAATAGACTTCGTACGTGGGGAATTAGTGTAGAATAGATTCGTGACTGGACGTTATAAATTGTTTGTAGTTAAATTAAATGACAGGCAGTCACGAGTAGGCGCTTCGGCCGAGGCTCATGAAGAGAAAGCGCGTTCGCAGACTGCATTCACTGGATTTCCGACGAGCGCAGGAGCGCCGCGAGGACATTCGCCGACGGCAACCGGACGGAAGACGTGTTGAAAAGCAGCGTTGAAGATATTTCCGTAAGCTTACCAACGTTACCACAAATATCGTATGGAATCTGTGAATGTACGAAGTAAAGATAATTCAAATCATTAATGAGCTCGAAGAATAAAAAAATATATATAAATTTGTAGAACAAATATTAACTTTTTATTATCAAACTAAATATAAAGGCTGATAAATGGTAGAAGTTGCTATCAAATTGTTAATGACAGGAAAATGCAGCAGAACTTCCAGGAATTGAAGTTCTGTACAGAGTAGCACGTCCACAAATAATAGTAAAATAAGAAGGTAAAGTATTATACGTCGAATCCAGGTTATTAAACGCAATGTAATATTTAAAATAGCAAAATTAGTTATATTATAATAAATGTAGGCAATTAAATTAGTCCAATCGTAAACAGTCTCAAATGGCCCAGCATGGGGCAAAATAAAATAAATAATTAATGAAAGTTAGTTAAATAAACCATCTCAATAGGGGCTGATATTGATGAAATATACGAATTTAACCTGCTACAATTGGTATAGCACTAATAGCTCCAGTGATAAGTCGTGGACTAACACTCAGTAAGTGAAATGGATGATTTTGATGTGTTAACATTAATTTACTTCTCTTGAATATAATGTAGCAAATAGGGGAAACTGTCGTACCTAGGGACAGATGTATCTAGGAACATAGCATGTTTTGGAGAAGTCTTTGGGAGAAATTTCGGTTTGTTATTTGCCCTGCATTTCTATTGCAATTTTTGATTATGCAAAGGAATGATTTTGTTGTGTGAGCTGTTTCCGTGATTTTATGAGCGTTTAATGAATTTGGCAATTGAAAAGTACAAATTTCGGCATTTCTCTTTCATCATGTTTGTAATAACTACTATTACATACGAAAGTTGAATAACTACACTTGCTAGCATAGAAATTTGTGCGATTTGTCGTGGAATATACGGACGTAGTAAAACATGCTGAGAAGGCTGTGGAACATGGCAACAACTGAAGCCATGGAAAAACGATAAATGAAGGGAAAAGACGTGTGAGATAAAGACGCACGGAAATTGGGATGCGAAAGACGAGGAAGGTTGTAAAACAGCTAAATAGATAGATCAATTTAAAATCGTGGTATGTTTAATATTTCTTCAAAATTTGAAAATTAATCTTGACCAAATTTAAGATATGAAAATGTTTAGTTGACTGAAAATGTAATAATTATATAGTTTAGAATTTTCATAATGAAAGAGAAAAATTAATTAGAAGGTGGGAGAAAGTTGAGAAAATATGATTTTACAAAAAATATTGTATTTTCGTGAATAAGTTTAATTTATTATGATATGTTCACAAATATGAAAATTATTACAAAATTATGAACAATACTTTGGTTGAAACACTCAAGAGTAGTGTTTGAAAGTCTTTTTAATCTTGAAAACCTCTGATGCCTCTCCAGAAAAGAAAAAAAACTATATTTTTAAACATCAATTTAGACCAAAGAAATGAGAACATTGAAATTTTTATTTGCAAAACAACTGCAAACTGTATTGAAAAATACATTTTATACCTATTAGTTATTGATGATTTCCAATCACATTAATGTATCTAAAAAAATTCATTATATTATTACACAAAGATCATAGAATTTAATCTTTACCATGTTATTCATGAAACCTGTTTCAAACAATGAAAAAATTATTTTTCACATTATGCAATGAATATTTAAATTATGAGTAGAAACTGGATGTTAGGCACTAAGAATGTTAAATAAAGGTAAGTTAACACACACTGTAAATAATTGAAAGTAGCAGGCCTAAATGTGCCTTGAAAACAAACTGTATTAATTATTTCCCAATAAATATTGACAATATATGGCAACTCAGACTTATTAAGGTTGGCACTGCCAGTGACTATTAACAATTTTTTTCCAAAGAACATGCAATTAAATTACATGAATATTTAAATCAGAATTTAAATATTTAAATAGAATAGCACATTGATGTCTGAGAACTGCACTGTTCTAAATCCATTTTACTACATTCTTTAGGAGAGACATTAAGTGTTTAGTGGTGAAGTAAGAAATGAGTCAGTACGAAAGGCGTTTGTTATAAGCTTATGAAGTGGAATATTTACAATTAATGCTCACATGTACATGGGGACATGGAACATAATGAAACACAAATCTCATATTGTTAAAGAATTGGACTTAAAACAGTCTGGCACTCAGCCATCAATATCCAAAAACGTGTTTAGCAAACATACTTTATATAATGAACTGAATCGCAATGAAACAAAGCATCTTAATCTTACCACTATAAATTGTTCATACACTACAAAACTGTAGTCATGAAGAAATCATTTATTATACATAAGCATTTCTTTCTATGTATTTACCACTTAAGTTCTGTCTTCTACAAGTGAACATATTTTTCCAAATGAAAATAACATCTCTCTGACAAAAATGATATTGTGACATACTTAATCAGTGTTACAATGTCTGGATCAATATCAGCTGAAACATTGTTTTGACACTTATCATCAACCTTGAAGTTTTCAAACCGCTGGAAGACTGCATTACTCACTTCTTCATTTGGCCCGGAATGCCCTAGCCCTCTTTCACTCTCCCGAGACAGAGAAGAATTTTCTTAACAACATTGCCTCTGTCACCTAATGAATTCTTATTGTTGTTTGGGTTTTCATAACCACACATTTACTGACAATAAGGAAACTTATGAAAAGTAGGAATGAGGCATTCATTAAGTGCTGTTTAGTATTTTGTGTTTATATTACATAATTCACTTAAATTGTCTTTGATCATTTTAACTTCAAGGAAAATATTTCTGGCTTTAATGATTCTATGACTTTTCTCAATAACAATAATAAATTGAATCAGAACATTAGAGGAGACTGTTGTGTGTTGATGACAGAATACCTTGAACCACACTTCAGTTTCTTGACAGATGTCAGTATCTTTGCAACAGCAACTACATCAATACAAAGTTTACTTCCTAATTTAGGAAAGGGATTGTTATTGTGTTTTGTGTCATTTTGTTTCTAAATAAATCAGAAATAAAATTTGATAGTACAAGAAGTAAAAAATTTTGCTTTTACAGTTTATTGATTTACAATCTGACTAATTTGATTTGTATTTTTTAAACACACTCCACCTGAATCAAAGTTTATTATTCAGTACTTTGTAATGCCGTATTTCAGATTTAAATTTAGTCTACCATTGTAGACCAAAATAATCTACCATTGTAGGCACTACAAGATGTTACAATTATTTCATTCTTGTTATCAGTATTTCACAAAGTAAATTCATAGTAGTGCATGTAGTGAAAAGCGAGCACAGTGACCAACAGTTAGCCACGAAGACTGTATTACATGTTTACAAATAAAACATAGGCTACACTTAAATTCAATTTTTTAATTTTTCTAATAAACCAAAAAAATGCCAATTTCTGCATAAAAAGTCTTTAATACATACTATCTACCTTACTGCTATGATCATCATGATCAATATTATATAAATTAAATCTTTTCTATAAACATTTAAAATTTAAACTTTCAAAAAAATAGTTTGTAGGAATAACATTATCTGCAGAGACACTGTCTGTGGCTTTTTTAATGACTTAAAAAATTCTAAACATAAATTGTGATTCAAGGTACAATCTCAGAGGAAATTTTTCTATGGTACAACAATCTTCCCTGTTGTTACTCCTAAGCTAATTTCCTTGAATTTATATCAAAATATGAAAAACCTTACAAGAGAAATACAATACCACTATGCATTGGAATCAGACAAATGTTTGTGAATTAAGAAGATAATAATAGACATTGCCGGAAGAAAATAGGAAGAAATAAGCAAAATTATCTCTTCTTTAAACACTAATACTTTGATATGAACTTAAGATAATATTTTTATGTTATTTTTTATAATAAAGTATAGGCATTTGTCTAACATCCAGTCTCTAGTTATAAGTAAGAAAATAGCTTTAACATTTGCAACTGACTCCTATTTTTTCTCGGGCTTTATTAATCATACATTTACTGTCAATCACAAGTGTTTTGAACCCTTTAATCATTTCCGCCACATATTCAAGGCACAGTCCACTCAAATCTATATTATTTCTGTACAGTTTCATTTGTTTTACTTATCAGAAATAGTACACATAATTTTGAAACAAATTTTAATACTGTCTTTGAAATACTACAATATTACAATGGGCCAACAAAGTGTATTTAAATTAATAAGCCCCTTTTACGAATATTATTTTGTGCTGCACAAAATCCAATTTTTTTTCATTCATTTCAAGTCTCAACAAAAAAATCACATTAATTTCTTGAAGCTTATTCTATAATACACATAATTTGCAGGAAACCCAAAATTAGTACACGTTCTGTGATATTTAGAACACAAATACCACAATATGAATATCCTTTTTTATTCTTCCTTCTTCAGATAAGTCAAAAATTACGTTCTAACGAAGACATCGATTGGCAATGTTTATGTAAGAAAGTAAGTTTCCACATATCCAGAAATAATAACGCTGAAGTTTTTATCACACGGAAAAATTAAAAACGTAAGAATAATGTTCATAGTTGGTCCATATTCCGTACATTCATGAATAATAATACTAGCTCTCAGCTAGTCAATAGAATTCTTGTAATTAGAACCTTTGAACAGAAAATACTTAATTGATTATTCAAAATCAATCACAAAACAATCTTATTTATGTTCATGTTCACGTCGTGTTTGTTTAGGTATCTGAAAGAGCAGAAAATGTTCAAGTGAATTACATCAATCATGGCTATGATGGAATTTGCAATCTCTCTTGCTCTTCTTCAAATATTAAAATCCCATGCTCATTCTTTCTCTTTCCATTAGTGTGAATACACATTATTGAATTAATTCTGCTCATGTTTACTACGTAACATTATTTCATCCAGTCAATGGACCAAAAAACGGTCCAAGAAGCTTGCTTCTTTATGGATTTGTTTCAGTTTGCTAATCATAAAGCTCTTTTAACGTTTTCTTCCGCTGAGCTTTTTCCGATAGTCATTTAGTATGTCTGTCGGGAGAAAGGCGTCTTAGAGGAATGATTTCACCTCGAGCAGACACAGCTGTGTCAATAGTGTGGTGACATGAATTTGCTCGACCCAGGGAAGGAGCGCCAATGGCAGAAGTAGATCGACTGTGATAAGAGCCTGATCTCCACCTTTGTGAGTTATGATGGTTTCTGTAAAGTGAAATATCAGAAGAAATGTTTAATTCATTCACCAAACAACAATAAAAATATATATACAATACGTACTGTTTAGTAAGAGCAAACAACGTTGTTTGATCTACTTCTCCTTCTTCGTCTTTATCCAAGAGGGGTCCATGCACATGTTTGCCATTTGCCATTTCTATGTAAAGATTGTTTGCCACAGCATTATCAATATCATATCGACTGTGTGCACAAGTTGATCCTGTTACATAAGGAAGAACTTTCTTCAGAGACACACTTTATTAGAAAATATCAAATTGGATGAGGAAGTCACAGAAATGAGAAGAAATACAAACACAAATACAAGAAAACGCAAAACAAGAAAATCAATTTGTTATAATATGCTATTGTTATAATTCCACGAAATAAAATACAATTTCATAAGATTGTTTCAAATTACATTGTTTGTGGAGGAAGAAATGATAAGCATATCATATTCCATATGTTATAGAAGGGTACCATAACAATTACGTAGGTATTTCTGGGTTTGGTTTCATGAAGCCAAGACAATGCCGATATTGATGTGCATATTCCTGAACTTATGTTGCTTGGGTATTTATTTATCACAATAATATATCATTCATTCATCATTTGCAGTGCAAAATGAAAATATTAATTTTTTTATTTATTTATTATTTATTTAATAGGTAATTATTACAGACAAATTAGCTTACTTGATCTTATGTGGCTAGACCGAAGGCCTTTAAGCCATGAAAGAAATGAAAATATTTTTGTATGTCAATAACCATCAAAAGTACGAATCTCACAATGAGAATAAAAAAAAAGTAGAGCTAAAACAGCACATACTTCCTCACCTTTCCTAATGGTTGCATAATACTATTTATACAGCAATTACAGACATAATTTTTTTAAACTCATTACAAATCGTAGAACATTAGGTACAGAAATTAATATTTTTAAGTAAATATTGATATATTTCGACATCTCACGTGTCATCATCGCCCCGTCACTTTAGCTACGCGCAGCTGCCGGCTCACTCGAAGACTCATAAAACACAGAGGGCGGCAGCGTCGCCCTTTCCAAAGACCCCCTCCCTCTGAGACTCCCGCCTCCAAAAGCAAGGAAGCTTTTGACTTTCGTCAAACCGTCCTCCGCGCAATTGACTCCCGCGATGCCCTGAGAACTCGGATTATTTTCGTCTCGCAAATGCCCCCTCGCTAATCCCTAGGGACGAGCTGCAGTTCTTCCACTAGGGCACCGGCTCCCAGCAGATGCCCCCTCCCACGGTCGACCCATGGTCAACAGTAGATAACAATGACAACCTATTGGAACGATCAGATTGTGTAGGTAATCAAAGTGGGTATTGCGCCGGCCAATAGGCATCCACAACCCCTAGAATGTTCTCGAAGTAGCTAAAGAACCAATAGCGGCATACACACGTGGCCAAATGGCACTCATAGCAATGGTATCACTGGCTGAGACACGAAAGAGAGGTGCTGTCTGAAATCCGTAGGGAGAGGTTGTCTCAAATCCATCCAGAGAGGTTGTTTTTATTTCGAATAAAGACGCATTTCTTTGGAAACACTTTGTGTTCTGTTACTATTTGGAAACCGCAACTAGAAAGCTACAAAGTTTCGCTTCAACGGATGCCACCCTCTCCGGAACCGGGGCAGAATTTAGAACTGTTGTCAAGCCAAAGAACCACGCCAACGGAATTTATTCCGTTCTGCGGACGAAAGCCAGAAGTCCGAAGTGCACTTGTCGCGGTGAGCAACCTGCCACGACGTGCATTCGGGTAGATTGACGTATGACGGCTCTACTCAGCGTTAAAAACACACATCATCATCATCATCGGTACGAGAGCGAGGGCCTTCTAGTCATCGGCGCGTGCTGCGGATGCAGGGCACATCCAGTGCAACGCGAGCCCGCGACAGCCCTTCGACTTTCGACGCCGCCCCTCCTCTAGCGGCGTCACCTGGCGTGCGCGATGTGAGCGCGAATCCAGACGGCGACGAGCAATTTCCTACAGCGAGGTAGCCCAAAATTTCTCTCTGTAGGCCCAGACCAGAATTAAGAGACTGTAACGCCAGTGGACAAAATAGTGTAGTTACGAAGTCATTAAATGACCATGTAATAAAATAGTGTCATTTTCAATAAATGTGCGCCCGTCATTCAAACAGACAACACTTTAATAATCAGTTGGAAGTGCTTTCTTAATTATTAACTCAAGAGCATGCGCATCACTCCTTGAGATCTCTAGAGCAGGAAGCAGGTTGGCGCCCACATTTGAAGAAATTTAGCACGAATGATCTGACATCCTCCACTACGTCGACCTCTCACGAGCCTGGACACATTGTTGGACTCCGCTAGGTTCGGTGCACACTAGGTTCGCGTATGCCGACGGGCGGGTTTAATTAATAACTGAAGTGAAAGCAGCACCACCTAGAAACTGTATATCTAAGTGATAAAACTTCCAATTTTTATTTTATACTTATTAACTGAGTTAATTAATAAGATGGCAATTATTTATTAACTGATTAATTCCAGAAATAATATCCAGATTATTAATTTGAAATATTTAGTAAATTGAACGTTTCTTTCAGAGCCCAGAGACCAATTTTAAATTCTAAGATTTATAATATTTATCTTGTTGGATACGTGCGCTGCGTTGCCAACTTTTATTATTTTTTGCAGTTTTAATATGAAAAAAGGGGTTATTATATCACTTATTCATGTTTATTGATTGCATATTTAGTTATTTATTTTTCGTATCTTTTAATTAGAGACAATCATTGGATAGATTAATTCAGAAACTCGTCACTTCAAAACGTATATATTAAAATTCCAATAAAATGTTTTTGCAACATGTACATATCGCGATATTGTTTATCGCTTTCTGAGGTACATTTCATGTCAATATTTTAAAAATTAATCAGTTACACACAACATATTTAATGGGTAGATGACTTTTGTGAAAAACAATGTTTAAAGAACATCTTTGGTTGGATGACACGAGCAAAATGTAAAACTAGTTGTGTTACAGAATGACACAGATTTTCTTTTGTTCTCGGCTAACTACTTGACCCATACTCTAGCCGGCTACCATCTAACTCCACCTAAAGTATATTTAAAAAATAAATTATCCTAATTTTTCTGGTTTATAATAATAGAACGGAAATATTGTTTTATGAATATTTAAGAACAGTTAAAATCTTTTCTTAAATTGCAATTTTCTTTAAAAATTTTTCAACAGTTTTTAAGAAAATGGCGCTTAAGCTTCTGTATATTCGAAATTTGAAGATCTTTTTCACTGATTGTTTTGTTTTCGAAATACTTTATTTGAAGTCATTTGAACTGCTTTAACTTACAAATAAAATATTTTTTTCAAATTGCTTGAAATGCGCAAATTAACGGCATGACAGGTATTTAAAAAACTACATATGTAAAACTTTGAAAAAGAAAAAAATAACCTGAAATGAACTTTACATCATATTAAACAGTGCAATTAGTACTATATGTTTGAACAGTTTGAAGAAAAATTTGGAGTCATTTTTGAGAAAATCGAGTGTTTCTGAAGAGGTGGAATTTTGAACTAATCACAGAAAACGGTTGAGTTTTCAAGAAACTTATATGACACTATTTAAATAACATGTACTCATAAATACAGAGTGAACAAATTGACGCTAATATAAATAATAACGAGATGAAGAACAAGTCAAAAAATTACATTTTTGTAATTAATAAAAAAAGAAGAGAGCAATATAGTGTATATGTCATCTTATAGAGTGGATTTATTCCTATCCACACCAAAAGTTTAAAGAAAAAAATTAGGCCAATTTTGAGAAAATCTTGTTTTTGTGATTTTTTAAAATTTCATATTGCATGAAAATTATTAAAATTTAAAAAATGTATATGACCTTAATGAAAGAACTCACTATGGAGAACAAATTTTATTTAAAGAAAAACTTCAATTATTGTAGGATACCGTCTGAAAAAGTTTGAAATTTTGAAAAATTCAGAGATAAACTTGAAATTCCGACCTAAGCCACCTTAAGTGTATATTACTCCATTCTTACAAGAAATTTAAAGAGAAAATTTGGAGCCATTTTTGAAAAAATATTGAAAAAGTCCCAAGAGCTTAATGTAAAGTACTCCTAAACGTTAAAGAATATTTTTCGAAATCTCAAAGATTCGGCTCAAGCCAGGACAGAGGTTTCTTCAATTTGGAAACAATCCTTCATTTGCTTTTGGCCCTAGTGGTGTTCACAGACGGACACTCACAAAAGGATATCCGTGAAAATCTCGAAATCGATTTTCCGCAGCAATACATAACTTTCCTTTATTACTCCGTGTATACGTACGTATGCGGGAAAGTAAAAATTAAGTTTGGGCGGCAATGGAGGGCAGCTTGGGAGCAGGAGAAAGAGGCCAGACCGAAAGAATTAGAAAACAAGTACGAAAAATAGTTTACTTTCTCATATACGTATACATGTACAGAGTAATACAGTATGCAGTGTAGAGTAAGTTATGAAATGCTGCGCAAAATCAATGTCGAGATTTCAACGGAAATGCACATTTTGGGATTCCCTGATGAAAAGGTGGGTGTCCGATGTCCTGATGAAAAGTCTATCCGTCCGCCCGTCTGACACACCGTCTGTCTGTGAACAACACTAGCGCCTGAAATGTGCTGAGGATTTTTTGCAAACTGAATAAATCCCTGTCGATCTGACCTCAGACCTTTTGAAAATCATTCGGACTGATTCATCGGGACTGATTTTACCGGGCACGGGACTGAGTCAACACTTCGCCGCCGGGCGAGTCTCTCAGATTCTTCGGCGACCCGTAAGTTGCCCACACTGTTTTATCAGGCTCGGATTTACATACAAACTAAACAAGCAGGTGCTTGGAGGCCTCGGCCTCAGGGAATCCCAGGGCTGACTTTTTTAAAGTGGAGAGCCCATCTCTAGGCAAGGTGCCAACTCTTAGTTACAAAGAGATTGGCAGAAAAAAATGTTCGTTTGTTTGAGCGACACCGTCCACAAATCATTTAGGAAAGGTGTATTTTGCCCGTCTGACAGTTTTTTGAGCGGGGGCCCCACCTCTGCTTGGGGACCTCGCGGACCGTAAATCCGGCCCTATGGGTTATAATCCAGAAAATTGCACTTCAAAAACAAAAATTGCATGTAAACATCCACATTTCACTCTATCAGCAAATCAATTTAAAATTATATTAAAAAGTAGAAAAAGAGCTCAGAATTAAAATCAACAGAAATTGTAGCCTCATTCATTTATAATTCTAATTAAAAGGAGATATTTGAGTGTTTGATAAAAATTTTAAAACAATGGAAATTGTATGTCAAAATTAAAAAAAATCAAAACTCGGCACAAAATGAAGTTCAATTGTTTCTCTTTTTAATACAATTGCAACATTATCACGTACGCACTAAACGCATTGCATTTTTGTCAAATTTATTTAGTTTCTTTTTTATTAGTTAAAATGGATGTAACAAATGAATAGAATGAAATGAAAATAGATGGAGAAAAGTATTGCAAACGCGAAGACGTAGAAGTCCTGTTTGTCGAATTGATGCCTTAATTTACGTGGCGAGACTCGGTCCATCTGACCACGCAAATTCCGTTTTTCCGTCTGACCAAGCAAATTTCGTTACGTCCCTTTCACCAACTAGCTAGAAAGGGGTTATCACTCGGGCGATTTGAATTTAGCTCAGAGGCTTCATTTAGGCTTGAGAATCTTTTACTTGCAGTACATCTACTAACAAGGGCCAGCCGGCTTTACTTCCCCTCCAAAGGATGTTTTCGCCCTTAAAAATCCACGGCTTCGCTCGGGTTTGAACCGGTACAAGAGTCCGATACGCTAACCGTTACACGCGATTGAAGCGATGGCCAGCCCCCAAACCGTCGTCCCACAGCGTTCTCCCTGTCCTCCCGTGAGGCAGCTTACCCAGTGAGGAGGAGTACGTACGGCGCTGGTCTGTGGTCAGCGACAGCTTGCAGGAGCGCTTGAAGGTGCGGAGGCCTCGTTGCGCGGGGCCCAGGAACGGCGCCGTCGAGATCGTGTACAGAACGGGGTTCACGGCGGCGTTCAGAGGCAGGACGAACACTGCCACCCACGCAAAAACCTAAAAGCAACAACGGATACTAAAGACTCTTTACATTTTCTTCGAAAGTTTCAAAGAAATTATGCGTGGAAAAAGAAACACTGGAAGTGAAAAAGAACAAAAAACTCTGGAAGAGGAAAAGATCAGGTCACAGAAAATGAAGATCCAAACCCCTGATATTAAGAGACCCGAACAGGCGAGGACATTTGTCCTGGAGGAAGTAAAAAAGGAAACAGAGGGACACAAACGACAGGAGAATGGATCTATGATAAGAAAAAACAGAATACAATGGCAAATTTACGAAAACCAGCCTCAAGCCACTTACTGTGGACGCCAAGGAAGGCAAGACCCACTGAGCATGAGGATAGTCGAAGAGCGCCTTGCAATGTGCCCACGAGACCCACGCGCACCTCACCGAATCACTGCTAACGAAAATACCGGTACAGGTGCAAAACAAACGAACAAGACACGTCTTCACGTTTCACTGAACACCAACATCCCTCCACAATTAGGTACACATCACTTGTACATTGCAGACAAAACGTTAAAGTGTTTTCACTGCAAAAGAAACAATTTTAATCGGAATTCAGAAACTATTAATAGTGCTTATAGTTGTTACTGCGAGAGCCAATCTTGAATTAATAATTATGCAAATAAACTCGCCAGTCTGCACAAATTACGGTATACATGGAGTGTGTAAATAATATAAGATAGAGGACTCTTTACCTTCTAAGCGAGACGTCAGAAAAATTGTCACCATCATCAAAGAATAAAAATATAGGTGACATTGGTATTATCCATAAGTGCCGACGCAGCAAACATTTAATAGAATTCCCAAGAATTTCTGTTGATTACGGTACGAGAAACGTTTTTGAGACCTTTGTCTCAAAATGCTAGTTTTAAGGCCTTAGAACGCTTTGTTTAAGTGTTATTTAATGAAATAGCAGACAGAACTCTGCGGGTTGCATTTGACATGAATATTTGGATGCGTTTTTTAAACAAATCCATCATATTTTTAAAGTCAAAGTGCAATTCGTCGCGTCTCTGTGAAATTCTCTTTCTTTAGATACCTAATATGAGATAGTTGCTTCCGTGTGAGAGCCACAAAAAGTATGAATACTACTGAAATAATATAGGAGGTGATTGAATCAACTTGTCAATAGAATTATAATTCAATTGAAAAAATAACACAGTGATAGAGCAAAATATAAACCACTAATTAAAAAATCTCAATTTCGAAGGATCGAATTCTTTAAGAAATTTGACAATAAAAGCATATTTTCACCTGAGTAGGAACTGTGATTCCGCCAAGCGAAAGTGCTCCTAGGAGAATAATGGGCATCCAGCAAGCGGCATCTGTTGCCACAATCAAAGTCATTCTTCGAGCCATGGCTGCATCTGACGGCCGCTGCTCTTTGTTGCAAACGGCCTGGCGGGTCGTGCGAGCCACCGCGTACATCCACACATATCCCAGGGCGATGATGGAGAACGACACCAAGTTGAGGACTGAAAACAATAATTGTTAAGAGGGGATCATGAAGATCTCGTTACACCTCCTTAGGCACGTCTTGATTTAGTCCTGTTTTTCTAATAGTAATTCGATTCAAAAAAGAATAAAAATACTAGAAGAAAATAGTTACTGATCAGAGATTTTCGAAGCAATAATAATAATAATAATAATAATAATAATAATAATAATAATAATGCAAAAGCAAAAGAGAAAAACATGATTTTATTTTGGATTATTTATCAAAGAGCAGTAAACGCTATGTGCTGTTTTGTTGTGATCTAAGGGATCGCAAATAGGATGAATATTTGACAATATGTTGTTGAATAATAAGCGAAGTTAACAACGAGTGATGTTTGCGACCTTTTATAACAAGTAATGTTTGTTGTCGTTTAGCAGAAACTATTTGATTTGGCAAAAGAGACAGAGTTTGGATTTGTAACACTAACCATTGGGTTCTCGCAAATATAAAACATGTTTATCAAAAGCCAACTTAGTCAATGACAAAGGTGTTGAATAAATGACATGTTTACGTGTTTGAAAACACTATTACAACTATTTTCAGTTAAAGAAAATAACTATTAAGCGGACAAAATTCCGTGGTGGTAGCGGATATCTTGTGGTAATCCATGGTATTGTAAAGGAAATAATCTCCACAAAGTTTTTGGAGATTATTTCCTTTACAATACTATTAAGCGGACCTTTTTAAGCTACTTAAAGGCGGAGGTCCTATTTTTGTCTTTTCATTAGAGCTATAAAAGGATACACATACCCCCCCTATTTATATAGGGAGATGTGGCTCAGGGCATCAACTGATATGCCCGCAGTGCCTCTGGCTGAGAGGTCCTACGTTCCAGTCCTGACAATGGGAGAATTTTCAACACTATCGAGATAGCTCGTCGAGTTCAGTCGTTGTGTGGAGGTGAATTCTAGCGGCCGACTGCTCTGATTCATAAATTGCCGTGGTTTCTCCGGTCAATACCAGGCGAATGCTTAAGTAGTATCCTAAAAAACGAAACACGGACCACGTGCGATCTTTCCTTCCTCTGTCTTGTACTATCCCCATCTCTTACCTATACATATTTACACGATACTACTCTAGTACACTCGCCGGGAGGCCTGTCGGGAGCTTAGAGCTTATCCCGGATGGGGCGCAGCCCCGCAGGTGGGAGATACCTGATGGGGAAACCCTGCTAACCGATGGGCAGGTTGGCACGTGACCTCACCATCCAGTAGGGGAAGATCACAGGCCACCTCCCAAGCAAAAAAAAATGCACTAAATTACGGGACTAATTATCTCAGCAGTTGACGCTCACGGAATCGCAAATAAATCAATCATTTACCTATTTCTATTAAAAATTCTAAAACATTCTGGGTAACACGTGAATGTTCTAATTGTACATTGCATAGATATTCTGGATAGGAAATGCGCATTCAATTTTAAACTGATGGAATAATCATCTTTACGTTGATCATTGTTTTAGAGGAACGTGCCACCCAATGTATATAAAAATACTGTGAATATGTGAGTCAAAAAAGGTTTTTTCATGTACTGCATTGAGACGAAAGTAATAAATTGTATTAAAAAGATGCTTAAAATATTATCTGGAATGTGATAATATTTCTTTGAACTTACAGAGAAAAACAAAAACTGAGTATTCCCAGCCACTGGGTTTTTCAGGAGTGATATGCAGTGCCAAGCAGACTCCAGATCGGCCATAGAAATTCCTGAAATTGTAATCATTAGTAAAATAAAGCAAGATAATGAGCTAATATTTATGTGAAACTGAATCTTGAAATATATAAGAATTCATTGGTAACTTATTGTGCAATGTGAAACAATGCTACTAACACTACATTCTCACAAACTTGAGTCTATTGTGAAAAACAAAATTGTTGAGATTGTCTTTCAGGTTTCCGGTTCTTTGGTGATTTGTTATCATTTTTTTAGATATTGATAAACATTGCATTCCATGACAAATTAAATAATAAATATCATACAAACCTGAAATAATCAAATTGGAGTAAAGGCAGACCTGACAATAACGCAGCACCAAACCAACCAGCCGCCATAACAAGCCGTGTTTTTGGCATCTCCAACCTTCGCACTCGAAAAGGAAAGATAATGACCAAGAAGCGGTCCAAAGTAATTACTGCAAAAGAATAAAGGAACCATTAAAATTTTCTAACACTGTATTAACATTTCTTAAACAGATAAGTTTACAGTCCATAGCTAAAGCATTTGAAAAATCTTTGCATTGGTTGAAGATGTCAGACTTTGCTTGGTACACAAAGTTCATTCTAGTAATGTTTTTCTGAATCAAATGTTTCAGTCTCTACTACGAAACATTATTTGAAACATTGCCAAGACAATGATTATCTTCTGACAAACCACAGTCTCGAACACATTGATGAAAAGTACTTGCCTGTGAGTGTGAAGACTGACAGTTCACTGGAAAAAGTACTAATGAAACCTGCAAGGCTGCATAGTTCACTGCTTCGCCACGTTGAATCATGTATGAAGTAAACACCTCTGTATTTAGCATCCACACTAGCAATGATGAGTAAATATGACCCCATGAATAAATCTCCAATGGCAAGATTTGTGATGAGGAATGAATGGACCTGTAAACAAATGCACGTTTTCCTAGTCACTAAATTCAGGTGCACAGAACGTCAATAATGTTTGTAATGCTATAACTTAAAACAGTGCCATGACATGCGTTGGTGCCATCTATAGTAATGACAATGTATCAACCCATTTCTTATGTCATTGTACATTTTTCTTGATCAGAATTTTCAAAAACAGACACTATTATTCACATATAATTATATAAAAAACTACAATTTAAACCACGTTGATTATAATTTTTGTATTATTTTAATTTCTTATTCATTTCACAATTGGGTTCATTTTTAAAATTTAAAATAATTTACATTATGAGTTGAGAAAAATACCATTGATATTATACTTTTGATGACATCTGGGACATCCACTTACCTTCTTTAAAACGAAGTACATTTTTAAAACAAAATGAAACCTGCGAATATGACTGAAATATTTATCTTATCTGATGACACATTATGCATTGTTTATGAAAGGAATTGTCTAGTCCGAGAGATACTCATATGCTGTGAGGAGCGTGTGTGTTAAGAATGTCTTCCCGGTATTTCTGAAAATATGCAAATGTGAGCTAATTGTCACAAATAACAAAGTTTCACGAACTTCATGAGAAATCACCGCGTGTACTCGTAAATACAATAATGTATGAAGAACGCTGTTAATTGAAATAGTGACAGCGAGAGAGATATTAAAAATTACATTTGTGTAATTTTAACATTTATAAGTGAGCTACGCGACTCTTGAGATCAATTGGGGACTTCAGTTTGGAAATATTTGGAACTTCGGATTTAGAAGCAACCATGAGTTACAAATAATCATATTCTTGATGACTTATTTCCAATTTAGGCATAATTTATAAGTAAAAATGGCATGATTTTGCATAAAAGTTGTGAAAACTGGCAACGAAAAATAGAAGCATATTCTTTATACATTGCAAACGCAACAGTCAATTCTCCCTCTTCTCAGCCTATACAAATATGTTTTGAAATACTGTACTCACAATTGTGCTATATAACAATTGTTAGTAAGTGTGGGCACATGTATGTTTTAAGTAAATCTAAGGAATATTGTGTAATTGGAACTGCATATGTTTTCTTCTTATTACTTAAAATATAACAAAAGTGTAAATGTATATGAGTATTTGTATAATTAAATTCACTTAAAGTACGGCTTGTTTAACAAAATGAGCCTAAATCATGTGAAACCAACACGCTAGTTCAGAAACAATGCAATAAGTACAAAATAGGACAAAAATGTCTAAGAAATACAAATATTAGTTTGCTTTACAATATTTATCCGTTTTAGGAAAAGTGTAAAAATTGACGCCTTCCACGAAGCGTCTCTACAAGATGACTTTACCAAACTTCAAAATGTTGGGACTGAAACTGTGCAGAATTTAATACTCCTCTTTTTTACTAATAAACTTTTCGATTAAATGCTTTATTTTAGAGGAATTTGAGTAAAAACCGGGACACAATACGATTTTTGAGGTAGGTTCAACATTACTGCTGAGACATCACTCAAAAATCGGGGCAAACTCAGATTACTTATATCAGAGACCTTCACGAGTCACTAAAACAATTTCCAAAACCTTTGGGAGACAGACCCTTTGTTGGAGCTAATTTTATTGGCCTAGCTGTAATGTAGCAGTACGTGAGGGTCTCATCCTACATTTGACAGTTTTGGTGCATGCTGTCATGCATTTAAATGTCAAACACATTATGTTATTAGACATTGTAGACAATGAATGAGAGAAAGTAATAGGTAACCAAAATAACAACGCCAATTTGCCGCTGCGTCTTCTAGAATGTTTGTTTTGGGGATTTATAATTTTAATGGTACACACATTTTCTTGATAAATTAGCTATGAGACCAAATCAAGCGGCTATGTTTTTCATGAATTAACTTAAACGATCAAGCAGAAAAAAGATTAGCTTCATACTTTCTTATTTTTTATGTAGAAGTAGCGGAACCTGGCAGTCGATGTCCAGCTCTCCATCTCCCTCCCCTTCCTTCTCCACCCCTCTCCACCCCTCTCTTCATCTGTGTCTCTGTGTCTGCCTCAGGTCTCTGTCTGTCTGTCTGTCTGTCTGTCTGTCTGTATCTATCTCTGCATGTCACTGTGCCTTTATCCGTCTTTCTCTGTCTCTCTCTGTTTCCGCCTCCCTGTCTCTCCCTGCGTCTTTGTCCCTCTGTTTCTGTCTGTATCTATCTCTGACTGTCTCTGACTCCTTGTCCCTATTTCTGACTCTACGCTTTGTCTATTTCTCTAGCTCGCAAGCCGCCTATCCTGATTTTCTCGGCCTCACCCTGCGTCACACGGCCACGCCCAGCTCAGTTTCAATGGAAATTGAATTAAAATGAAGCGCAATCTTGTGCTGCAGCGCCATTTAGTGGAGTTACAACAAAATTAACAGCATATGTATCTTTGTACTTTGTCACAACAGCTCTTTACCTAGCTAGAACTACCAACAGTGTCCCGGCCTTGGGTTAAGGAGTACGTGTAGTTAGATCCATTTTTATATATAAATGGATAGAGATAGATATACAGATAAATGGGGAGATAGATAATAGTTACCTGATTTGTGTGTTTAAAATGCATTCTCCATGCAATTACTAGGCCATTTCCGACTGTAGCGATGACTCCAAGTACCCAAACACAGACTCTAAGAACCAAATTCGACATCAGATCTTCACACGATGAAAATTCATCAGGAGGCGGATAGCACTCCGCAACATGGCGAGCCAAACAACAGAATCGGAACTCGTCCGTTGTTCTGAACAGAAACATTAAAAACGATCACATTCTTCAATAACTATAATTTATTATTCACCCACATTGAAGCTACCAAAATATATTTTTCTACCACTACACATTTTGTTCTGAATAATATGGAACCATTTCTAAGTAATTATTAGAATGATTTCATATTCATGTATATTCCATTGAATTAATAATAACTAGTAAGAGAATTACATGAGATACTCACAATTTGCTGAGAGACGTTGTGCTGCGAAATACATTACTTCCTATTATCTTTATATTATTGTTACTTAAATCTCTGAAAAATATAACAAAATAATACATTAGGATAAAAAAATCGCATTACTCAGATTAATTATAAAATTAATTATGAAAAACAATGTTAATATATATTAAGAGGCTAATATATTTTTAAAATTATGATTGATTTAATGATCAAAATTATTAATGTTCACATTACAGAAATAAATACAAAGGCACTGATGCGAAATTGAATAATGGTTGCTATCAAGAATTGAAATCTGATACTTTTGTGCATATCTACATGATAGCTCTTAAACAAAACTCATGCGAATCTCTAGTAGCATTACATGATATTCTTTCTCTTGCATTTTTTTCATTTTACTAATAAAAACTTCAGTAGAAAAAATATGTCTCATTGCAATTTATTTAATAAACATAAATACTTACAAAGAATGTAATGCAGGTAAACTTGTGAATGTTCCATCAACCAAGTAAGTAATTTCATTATGAGATAGAAGTCTGAAAGAAGATTATCAACGCCACATTAAAAAAGAACATGAAATATTTTTAGGCGCATATGTATCACCTACTCAATTAATTACTAAATCAGTGGCAGCTGAAAAAATGTCAAGGCGGAAGTGCAGTCTGATTCCGAGTCTGATGTAAAACAAATTAATACCAAAGGTAACAAAAAATATTTTTGTTATTTATCAGAATTACTCTGTACGTACATATTCTGCGTGCTGATTTTTCTTTTTGAAACATTCCCACTACACAACATAGATTATTATATTTACTACGTGAAAAGTATTGAAATCCGCTCAAATTTTCTTAAAATCCCTCTAAGTTTCAGTTGGACCACACACGCACCCACCCACCCACCCCACACGCCCACCCACATGCCCCCCGCCCCCGCCACACCCACACGCCCCACACCCACACGCCCACCCCACCACACCCCCACACCACACGCCCCACACCCACACGCCCCACACCCACACGCCCCCACCCCACAGCCCCACACCCACACGCCCCCACACCCACACGCCCACACCACACCGCCCCTACACCACACGCCCCCACACCTCACACGCCCCCCCCACACGCCCCCACACCACACGCCCCCACACCCACACGCCCCACACGCCACCACGCCCACACCCACACGCCCCACACTCCCACACGCCCCCACACCCACCAACGCCCCCACACCACACGCCCCCACACCCCCACACGCCACACCCACACGCCCCACACCACACGCCCCCACAGCCGAACGCCACACTCCACATTGTGCGACGCCCGGCTACGAGCCCACGTATCGCCTCCCACAGCCACACGTCCCCTCCACACGCTCACTGCACGTGCCCACTACTAGCTCACAACGCCCCGCACACCCAGTGACGGCCCCATCGAGTCCACGGCGTACACGGCCCCCAGCAGCCCGCACGATTATACGCCCACACACGTCACACGCGCCACCCCACGACGTGTCCACACACCCCACGCCACACACCCACACGCCACACCCAACGCCACACACACCTTCACACGCCGGCACACACCATCACAGCCCACGCCAGCCCACACGCCCCACCACCTCACAACGCGCACACAGTCACGCCGCACACGCCCACACACACCCACACACGCCCACACACACCCACACACGCCCACACACACCCACACACGCCCACACACACACGCCCCCCCACACACATGAGGATTGAGACCCATTAGTAGGGATCTAAATATGGTAAGATTCTGTGGCGAGAGAAACTACATTTTTTATCCCAAAATTGGAATGTGTATGTATGTAGTATGTATGTCACGCATAACTATCAGACTAGAGGATTTGAGCTGAAACTTAGTAAATATGTTAACATGAAAACTAGTTGTGCTATCCGGGTATCATCAAGAAATTGTAATTTTTTTGGGGTATTTTCCATGTAACTCTCGTAATATTTACATTTTTTTGGAAAATGGCTGCAATTTTTTTCTTTTTTATGTAAATAATAGAGTGAATTTATAAAAACGGCAGTTTAAATTTTCGTTAAAATTTGAAAATTAAAAAAAAGAAGACTGCGTCCGTTTTCCACAGAATGGGAGTTGGTTTCTGTTGCATGACAACGCCCGCCCCCACATTGCGTTGCCAATGAAGAGATTTTTAGCCAAGCACGAGATAGTGGAGCTGACATACTCTCCGACATCATCCGACATACTCTCCTGACGTGGCCCCCGCAGACTTTTTGTTTCTCAGACACAAAAGTGTGATCAAAGGAACACGCTTTGTGGATGTTGAAGACATCAAGAAGAACGGCACGTCGACATTGAAGAGCCTTCGATTGAGGACTTTAAAAGTCGTTTCCTCAACTTATACAGCCGATCACAGAAGTGTATTACGGCAGATGGGGATTACTTCGAAACACTTTAAAAGGCCACGTTTTTCGCATCATCTGTTCTGGTGTTATTGGAGAAGTCCTGGAAATTAATAGCCACACCTTGTAGTTTTACGGCTCAATTGCCGTTGTAATTATGCTCTGAATGGCTAAGAGTTTTGATGTGTCTAAAAGCAAGAGTTTAAATTTAAATTCAGTGTGTAATATCAAACTTTTCGACATTTGTTTTTATTATTCCATGTAATGTCTAGGCAAAAATTAGAGCTCGTGGAATAGTTGTTTCAATTTGTGGAAAATTCAATGAAATGTTTCTCCTGTAAATACGAGTAAATGCGTTGTTTGTTTTGATTGAAAATAATGTTCCGAGTCCATATGTTTCCCTTTCTCAGTTAAGGTTTTGAAAATTGTTGTTTCAAGTTTTCTATTTGCTTAACACAAGTACAAAGGTAATCTGAGGTCAGTATGACGCATTTCTATTATTATTGGCGCTGATATCTCGGGCCAGATTTGCATATTAACATGGTGCATCACTCTGCGGCCTCATCGATACTGGAGGAAAGGAGGTTGTGAGCAATCTGTGCTTTGATTAGTGGACTAATTATCGAAATCACGCCCCCAAAATCCACCTCTCTCCGCTCTGCAGTTAATCTTTGTCGTCTGCCTGCGTTGTGGCAACCAGGTAGCAATGCGGAATAAACAACCAGTACCACAGTACATTCGCTTAGCATTCTAAAATGATCTGAGGTTCATGAAATATAATACTGATGCAATTTTGACTCACAAGAGTACGAATGACACTTTATGTATATTAATACGCATAGCTAAAATATACAAATAAAGAAAATATTTGGTTGTGAGCAAACATGTTACAAGCGGCACCAAATTCCACTGAATGAAGAGAAAAGATGGAAATTAAGGCAATATAAGGTATGTTACACACACTTCACTCTAATGATGAATCTAAGTACAGTGTATAAAGTGAAAGAAAAATATTCTCAGTACTTACAAGCCCATGAGTTTTCGAAGACCAATGAAAGCTCCACTAGATATATTACTTATTTTTTGGTGTCTGAGATCCCTGCAAAAGGAGTAAGTCATAACACAGCAAACATATTATTTTGTGAAATGGTAAGTATGCATCAAACATGTCATAGTTATGAGATTTTAAGTCCCTTACAGTTAATGGCAGAAATTCAGATCACAAAATCGATATATGCACAACAATAGTATTATTGACTATATTGTCACCAAACTAGAATGAGCCTAAAAACATACTACTCAGAAATTAATATAAATTCAGTAAATAAAATAATATTTAGATTATTTGTATAATATAAATACAGGGTGATGCAGTGCTCGTTGCTAATATGCCTTTACCTTAACCCTTAGGTAATGTGCAGACTGAATGTGCCGAAATTGGATACTCTTCGTCGTTTAGGTTTGCAAATAATCATCGTTAACCTTTGGGCTACGTGCTTGTGCTCGTGTAACACGGGCTCTGGCAAGTGAGCGAGCGGCTTCACCCCGTCGCGCCCCTTCTCTCGGAAACTCGGTTATTACTGTCAAGGAAGCGTCGGAAGCGAGCTCAAAGCAGACAGCGCGCGAGGTTGCATTATAGTCTGTCACCATGAACCAAGAACCCCCAACGCGTTTGGAGCTGGGGGTTAATGAAATATGGCGTTTATACTATCAAACTCGAGGATCTTGATGCCGGCGCATTGAAAGCCTGGCGGCAGAAATAAAGGAACAACTCGGCAAACTTGCGCGCGTCACGGAGACCGAACACTTGTGGAGTCGCTGTTAAACATAGTGTAAATACGAAATTTTGACATATATGATACACATACACATATACGATAAATTATCCTCTGTAACTTAAATAATACTTTTTTGACTCTCCTTTCATATGCATTAGATAAGTAGGAAATAATAGCATCAGGAAACAATATTTATTGTAATATTTGAGCTTCCTTTCATGCAAAAAGGAACCAGTGATAAAAAACCGATTTCAAAATTTTGAATAAGGATTCATGAATAACTTTGTGTACTCTATTACCAGGTCCTGCATTACCGACGAGGACTGAATCATCCGAGGACTGAATAAAAAGCAGCTATTGAAACTATAAGTTGAGTGAGATTATGGTTTTTACTTACAAAGTTGTCAGAGAGGAAAGTCCATAAAAAGCCATGCTTTCCAAGACTTGTATGTTGTTGCCTTCCAAATGACTAAAAGAACGAGATCAAATACAAAAGACGAAAAATGTGTTGCCATGTGAATAGCTAAAATCAATGTTAAGCCGTTCTTATTTTAGTGATTCATGTACTTACAGGCCAGTTAACGATGATAAACCGTGGAATGTATGATTCCCAATAGTATGAATACAATTGTTTGTAAGATCAAGAGTTGAAAGTCGCCAAAGATTATCAAACACCTTTGGAGGAAGCCATGAAATACTATTATTCTTCAGGTTTCTAAAACAATAATACAGGTTTTCAATTGCTTAATTACAGCGTACATTTTAAAAACAGAACTAATATTAATTCAAGATTTTATTGACATTAATAAAAATTACTATCGATTATTTTACATTTGTGTTACATTAATTCGCAACATTTTTAACAATAAAAACATTTATTATTAATTGTTTATCATTAATAGCATATTGAATCATTTTACGACAGAAAACCCTCGTTAACACGAACTCGCTTAAGATGAAATTTATTGTAAAACAAACTGGGTCCCGCCAAGAAACGTGTGAATATATATACACACTGCCTGACAAAAAGGGATGTACCCAGAAGGAGTGGTTGGAAGTGTAAGAAACTACATATATTGAACATCCATGTGACTTTATTGAACTGATTACAATATGGAAAGAAAGGAACAAGGCAATTGGCAGATACAGGCTGAAAGTGGGCACCATGTCAGTAGGGTGTCGAATCTCCTATGGCTGCAATGCATGCTTTATGCGGTTCGGAGTGATGTCGAATAGCTTTTTGATCCTCTCGTGAGGCAAGTTCTTTCGCAATTGTTGCTGCTGTTCGCCTAGATCCTGCAGGTTGGCACCTCTACGGAGTACCCTTTCAATGTCATCCCTTACGTGTTCAATGATGGAGAGATCTGGGGATCTTGCTGGCCACAGAGGACCTCAACATGCTCTAGGTCGTCCATAGACACACGTGCTGTATGTGGACGTGCATTATACTCGTATGTTAGAAGTCTGTCCCAAGGGGCTGTGATATAAGGAGTAGGACGTGCGGACGCAGAATGTCTGTGACGTATCGCTGTGCCTTCAAAGTTTGCCGAAGCACTATTAGAGGAGATTTGAACGCATATCACATAGCTCCCCACAATATGAGCAGAATATGCACTCTGCCCTTCACGCCGCCACACTGAAACACGATGGTCATTGGAGGTTAAAGCAGGACTCATCACTGAACGTGATGCGATGCCATTCATGTGTTCACACCTCGCAGGCACGGCATCGATCCAAACACAGGCGTTTGTGTTCTGGTGTCAACGAGATCTGACGCAAGGGGTGGTGGGACCTCAATCCGGAGGATGCAGCCATCCAGCCACTCTGGGAGAACCCACAGGATGTTTTAGAGCCGCCAGAACATGTTCGTGGAATGTCGACGTCATGTAATCGGCGCACCATACTGTAGAAGTCGCCGACGCCTCTTTGAGAGAACCGGCACCGGGGCGCAGCAGCGAGGCGACGGCGCCCCAGGGAAACACGCGCACCGCTCACGGGAGGGCGCTGAGGTCGGGCTCAGCGGAGCCGTCACGCTTCGGTAGGCGCGACTTACCTCACCAGTGGCTGGGCCAGTCGGCGACCCTTCAGCCCTGACCGGGTATAAAACGGCGCCATGCGAGCAGTGAAGCCAGTTCCAGTCGTCCATTCATAGTGAGAGCCACAAGAGTGTAAGTTATTGAGTGACTACGCCGCCGGCCAGCATTACGGACTTCTCGTTTAGAATTCGGATCGCCACCATGGAGTTTGTTCTCTTCGGCTTTTGGTAAATCTGAAAGTCCCTGGTAAATCTCCTGTTTTCTTGACTAGGTATGTTAACGTCTTTCTCTATATGTTCGGCATGTGTGAATAACAAAAACCGTTTTATGAAACTTAAACTAGTTTTGTTCGTAACACATACGGCTGTCTTCCCTCGGGGAGATATATAAGCCTCCGCCCCAGGCTTACCCACCGCAATTTGGGATGTTTCATGTAATGTGCGGTAGGTACCATGGAACAATCGTGCAAGTTTTCAAAACACTGCGATTTTCCCCCCATCGATCACTATTTTTGGTCTAATTTAACCGCGCTATTTAGATACGTTCTCAACATGTGTGGTGGGTGCTTCTCTAATTGTCTTCCCCAGTTGGAAATTGCACTGACAATGAGTTCAAGAAAGGCTGGTTGCTCTTCATTGAGTCCCCGCTCGGACAATAAATTGCTTATGGTAACATACGTTTATACGTAATATTTGAAGTACTATAGCACTCACACTATAACTGCAAGTCTCTTAAAGGTACGACTTGCAACAACAAATTGCAGGTCATCGATACGTCAAAATGCTTTCACGCATGAATTCTCTAGTAATCTCTAAATTGTCAGAAACAGACCCCCAACAAAAAATCACTCGCAAACACTGGACGCAAGTCAAAAATTCCCGAATAAACACCATAACATGGATAGTAACAAGATTTAAGGTGCATTTAATGGAGAAATCAGTGAGATTGAAATTATATTAATCCGTCGCGAGATTGCTTGTAAAAGGAAGAGAGAGAATTAGTCATTACGTTCGTTAGATGAGGGAGGTGATGATTATGCCATTGATGGCACGATGGTTCCACATAGGAAACACCAGCCCTATTGTTGTGCTGAAATGGCCGGACGCATTCATGGAGACCCGCGAAACACTCTATGGCCTAATTAATATCCAAGTACGTGTGAGGTTGAGAACTTCTGGCCGATGGGTGAGGTCGTATTGTCTCTTGGAGCGTAACATTTTATCATTGAATCGTTATTGATGGTTTTGTTGTTTCTTGATTTCTTTACCTCGCATCAGATATATTCTTTCACAGGTCAGAATGAGTTTTGAGATGGAATTAATAATTTTACATGGGGTGCATTAATTTGTATCTTTTGATTGATACACGATTGGAAGAGGACGTGGAAGATAGTAAGAAAATGCGGGTTGGCGAGAAAATCTCCAAAAGTTTGAATCGGTTCCAACCACTCAATCTGCGTGTAATTTTTAATCATGAAGTGAATTATTACAGCCAATAATAATGTTAAATGTAGTCTTTATTTCTAGTTATTGAAAATATGGATGCATATTCTATTTTCTTATCCTTACGTACAGGTAAACGAGACGATCCAAATGAGAAAAATTGCTTTCGAGCAGCATGTTTAGAAAATTGTCAGCCAGAATGCTAAAACAGAAAGAAGTAATATTAATTACAAAATTATAGTAAAACACATATTCAGATAAACGTGTGAAAATCAGTATTTAAAAAAGTTAAATCATTTATGATCACCAACAGTAAACAATGCGATTATTACGTAATATTTTCAGAAGAAGAAATCACATACTATCTGTTCATCGCATCTTCAATATCGGGGATGACGTGTAGTCCTAAACCAGAGCAATTTGCCAGTCGATCTTGGCACTGACAGCGAGGCTCCATTTCAGAACACTGAAACACTACGCACAATATAGCGAAATTATATGATATACAATTGTCTTTAATGCTAGTGAGTCATAAATTGGAGAAAATGACGCACCAAGTACTTTTTCCTACATTTAGGAACTTGGAACTCCTTTTTTAGTCAAAAGAAGGAAATGAAATTGAATTTCGTAAACGAAGGGATTGAGATCGAAAAGCACTGTGAATGAACTCGTTTTTGTTGAAAAATAAAGATCAAGATGAGATAATACCACACAGCAATCTACAAGACTGCTTTCCCAACTGGGACGCACAGTGGTTGATTTCCTTCATCTAGCGGTATTAAAATATTATCAAGAGAACGGTAAAGACGCTGTTAAAAATAGTCAGAATTATTCCTTGAGCCATTTTCTTTAATTTTGTTATGCGGGAACGAAATATAATAATAAATTAATTGCCCTCGAGTCTTGATAAGGATTGCCATTACTTGACCAGGATCAACTACTTGAGAGATACTCCATGCAATTGCTTACTGATACTAAAGGTTCATGAGACACAAACTCAAAATGAAATATTCTAATTCTAATTCATACCTAACAGTGCAAATAGAAAATTATAAAAAATAATAACAAACTAAAGTTACGATAGTAGACTAAGACTCTCTGAATCTGCTATTCTACTTTCACGTGACACATCACCTCCAGGAACATACACAACTTCAAACCTTCCGTCGGTTGCTGATTACTCAGTTGATAGTCACCAAATGCTTCTTATTACAGATTCTGAAGAAATCAATAGGAAATGAAGCATATTTTCATTGCACGTACTCTAGATGAGTTTTGAGTACAACTTTCTCGACGTGACGTGAAGTCTTTGTGTTGAACTTCCTGCGTGTCTTCGAACAGTTTTCCTATTGGGACAATCATTTCATTAATGACATCAGCGTCATAAATTAATATTTTGTGCATGCTTGAAATACCCATCCGTATGAATCGACAAAAACGTTTATTGTTTCAAATGGGTTTTGTCTGATAGCTTCCGTAGTCACATCACACCCGCTCCTCACTCCTTGTACAACAACAGAGAAGCGGCGAACGAGACTTCTATCTATCCCAGTGATGTTAGTACACTGCTCTAGAGTTTATGAAACAACTGCCAAACAGTGCTCCCATCGTTCGATGTACCACTTCCTTGTTTTGGGATGCACATAAGTAGTACCATATTTGAGAATTATTTGCGTTTTCCTGGGATCTTACAGTATCTTTTCTTCAAATCCATGTACCCGCCATTTTATAAAATATAGTCTAAGACATGTGAAGAAGGATCTCGAAGAAACGAATTTTACCGTGAAAGACCAACATCAAAAGCTTCATTGCGGCAAGGTTTTTTAAAATAATTTATTTAAGATTATTCATTTGCTATGGAGATGTATCATCAATAAGAACTTATGAGAGGCTACTTTAACATTAGTGAATTACACTTTTTTCCCTCATATATTTAAAAAAATTTGATATACAGATATATTTGCACCCCCAATATTCAATTTAGTTGCTTGAAGCTTCTTAATGTTTTCTTCTAAACGAGCTACTTCTGCATTTGTGCTATGTGTTGTCACCTTCACGAATACGAATTTAATGGGATTGTAAAATCTCGCTGTACTTTTCACCGTTTTGTTCCCTTCAAACATGATGATAATTCTTTTACGTGTCTACCTTTAGTCGTTTTCTGCGCTTCTCCCTAGATACACAACATTTCGTCGCCAAATCATGCTGGGATCCTTGCCGCGAATCTGTCTACCATTCTGTACATGCCTTTCATTTGTCAGCAATTGGTCAGGTGAATCTCCGTGTCTTCTCACTTAATACTGCCTCTGGAATACATCCAAGAACATTACGAGAAGCATACTCCATTAGCAGTTTTCTATTCCGTAAATCTGTGGCATAAGAGAATTCACCCTCACGCAAGTGCTCGAAAACCTCCCGTAGAGTGACTATACAAGCATCTGAAAAAATCGATTTTTTTGGAAAGGGGCAAATTTGGGCAAAAATGAATTTCACCATTTTGTTTCAGAAGGTTTAGATAATACAATCGTGCAAAGACCATGCTTGGCAGTTGCTGGCAACTCAAGATAACTCAGTTTAAATTTCTGATCACTAAGAAACCTGTATCAAATATATGGTGATACTTTCTCATATAAAATACATCCAAAAATTTAAAATTTTCAATTAAACGTTAGTGCATTTTAAAGAACATGTCTTCGAGATTTCGTCCATATCGAACAATGAAGTTATCCTTAACAATTCAGTGGCAGTGGGCAATAACACCAACCGCGTCAAAGCAGGACTTAGGCACGGCTGCACGTGCGACTCGGAAGAGCTCGCTGAACATACCCCCCCCCATTCTTTTGAGAAATGAATGTTGCACTTATGGGGACTGGTACAGTGCTGGCAGGACTATTAGGAACCCGCTCACGTAGGTTTTCATTCGTTTCGAGCATATGAGTTTTTGATTTAAATACCGCTGGATTCTGGAATGAACCACTGTGGGACGTAGTGAATAGAGTCTCAGGTTTCCGTACATTTAAACAGAACGGTATATTAAATTACATTGAAGATTAATGAAATAGTGAAGAAATATGAAGTTTCCTGCCTCGATCCCTTCCCTTCCCTCGATCCCGATCCCTTCCTCTTCCTTCACACGCACACACACGCGCTTACATGCTCTGCGCTGTCACATGCCGGGAGGTCAACAGCAAGTTTAGAGATTGGATGGTGGGAACAGGTTGGAGGCGATACCTAGAACGGAAAACCTGCAAGGCGTCGTGTAGGTCGGCACCAGATCTCACGTTCTAGCGAGGAGCAACACTGCTTCATGCATGTGACCTATGCCCAGTCACGGACCTTCTATATACACACTACGAGAATATCTGCCAGAGAACATAAGGGTACCTCTACCCGGTCTAGGAATAGGCGTAAAATAGGCGTAATAGGGGTAAAGGACAGAAATTTGACTATCAGTATAGCCTCCGCCAATCAGAAATGAAGAAAAAACCCCCAACGTCCTTACAAAAAGTTATTCGTCTTCGTCGAAGCTACGCCATGATGAAAGGCGAACTGTTCACTGTTGAACGAGAAAATAAGTATTCTTGTCAGATGAACATTACCTGGCGAATCGGACAGAATAATTTGGCGAAGGTTAGCTCCAATTATTAGAAGTTAAGTGGGTGTGACTATCCCTATAGAGTATTTGAGTAACTGCGAGTGTGCAGATCCGTCACTTCCCGTGCACTAATAGAGACGTATGAGGTGCCATTCAATCTGCTGGTGAGGAACTCATAAGTTGTTTTCGGATCCGGCCACAAGAGTCAAAGACATTTTCATAAACGTCTTTGCATGTTTTGGCACTGCGATCTTAGTAACCTTGTGTGTTTGAATGTAAAATACATTATATAGCAAGCAATCCTGACACCAGTTTTTAAACATTTTAAAGAAAGCTATGAAAAAATTAACACTATTAATTTTCAAAGTGGTAAAGAGAATGTGCAAATGTTCTTTAATGAGTCCGAAATTAAAGAAATATTGGACTTTTATGATGGTAACTGAACTTTTATGAAGGTATTAGGAGTAAACGACAGTTCGTACAATTAACAACTGTCTTTATATTCCTATCAACCCAAAATCCAAGAATAACTAGGTCCAAGCCAAAATCCGGTCCTTGCAGAAGATGCCCCAATTCACTGCGCAGTCCAACCAAGCCTCCAGAGAAACCACACGTAACTTTGCTCAGTTCGTCACTGTTGTCCGGGCCACAACGCCGCACTACCACTTGCACCCACTGAACGCGATTGCACTCTCTCCCCCGACAGGGAGGGCACGCGGTTTCTTAGATCTAGCCCGCGGAGCGAGTCTTGGGCTTCTTCTCTTGACTTGCCCGGGGACTAACAAAAGGGGCGGATTGTCCCGTTCAGATTGCGGTCTACTGCTCGCCCGGCCGCCGCGGTTGACCTGCCACCTGGCGGCGCTTTCACGCAACTCTCATTCTGCCGAGCGCCGCGCCGCTGCGCTACTGTGATCGACTTTCCGGTCGCCGGCCGCTCCCACGGCGACTGTAGAGCGCCACAGGCCTGCGCTCGTGGCCATCAATGCTATGCCACAGCAGTAACAAACTAAAAACACGTCTTCCCTGGGCGATTCATAGAGCTCGATGAATACAAGAGCTATTTAATGTTTAAAAATGTTTCTGCTAAAATCAGAACTTAAGCGTTCTAGTGTAATTAAAAATTCCTTAAAGAAAATTCTATTAAACTGTGGCTTTAGTGCAATGCAGCTGTAAAAGTCCCTTATCAAGATATCTGCTTTTTAAAAGTTACAAAATCGCATGAAATGATTGATTTCACAACTTCATAACCAACGTTAAAAAATTATACATTGTATGTGGTATTTTTAGAAGAATTGTTTGTCATATTTGATAATGAAGTATACGTACAAAACAATATCAAAATGGTAAAAAAATATAGTAGAAAATTTAGCCTGAGAGAATCGACACACGGAAGAGTGATATCCATGACCATTCTGTAATTATTAATTCGTTAATATACAATACATATAATTCAATTTAATCTTCATTTCAATGAAAACACTAGCCGAATTTGTGTCAACTAACAGCAGATATCTGTTCTGTTGTCTGAAGATAGATTCTAGTTTTATTGAAGAACCCTTTGACCTGGGTAAGCAACTCTTCACATTTAAAAGTTCAAATGTTATTTGTAAAGTTGAAAACTGTGAATGATTGCGCTGAAAGGCCTGTTGAATTAATGCAAAATTTTCATTGACTATTGAATGAAAATGAGGAGCGAAATCAATTTCTGTTATGTTGTTCAAGACGATCGTTCACTGTACCCATATTGCAAGAAAGAAACACTGAAACAAAGCGCCCACAACAAAAGATAAAACCATAACACAGCTTAAAGAGTAAAAAAAGAAATAAATTTTAATACAAAATTATATATTAAACATGTATCAGTTGTTTTCCATTGACT